AAATAATATTAAATAATTATAAAATAAAATACCTATCTAAGTATTTTTAATAGCGTTTAGGAAATGTCGATGAGTATCGTAATTGTCCGTAGCATTTGAGAAATATATTAAGCATTAATGGTTCTGCGTGAGGTTGGCGGGAATGGATACGACCAATTACTTTTGCTGGACTCATCACCAATTTCTCGCGAGAATTCGGACAACTCGTGTGACGTATAGCCCCGATTAATGACACCTTCGATATCCTCTTTAACTGCATGTCTATTTTGAAGTTTAGATGACAGTTGACTGAAACATTTTTAGAATCATAGAATGTAAGAAAAAAAAATTCAATTATAAAGGAAGATAAAAGGTTTCAAATTTTGAAGGAAAATTTGCGAATTTATTTCAAGAAAAAAATAAAACGGACATTTCTATGTTTAAGTGTTATTCACTATATTTGAATATTAAAAAATTGATTCATAATACAAAACTATTACTATTAAAGATATAAAAGTTTCTTATCCCATTCATACATGCCTAAAAGTTTCCAGTGCTTCGCGTTTTATCACGTTTTATATTAATTCTATAAATTCTAAGAAAGTAATCTGTTATTTTTTGATCTAGTTTTTCTTAGGACACTGCTTTACAGATTGAACTTATAATAGATGAAAATGATAGATAGATAAAAAATGTTACTAAAAAATAATCATAACAGCGTAAAAACTGAAATAATTTATATTTTATGATAAAATTTTTCTATCTATTTTAGGTTTAATCTGTAAAGCAAAATATTCTGAGGAAAGAACATAGATAAAAAAAATAGCAAATTGTTTCCTTAGAAGCTACGGAATTGTAGCAAAACTCGAAATTTTTAGGCTTGTCTTCGGTGACAGAAAATTTCTATATTTTTAATAAATTTTGTATTACAAACTAAATTTTTACGTCTTAAATAACGTGTAATAAATTATGTCTAAACGGTACTTTATTCCTTTTAAATGGCAATTTATTCCTTTTCATGAAATAAATTTGCAAATTTCGTCTCCAATTTAATCATACAAATCTTCCTTAAATTCGGCTGATTGTAACGCAAACCTCATTATTCGATCGCCGAATGAATCTTCAATCTTGGGAACTTTCCGCCTAATGTTACGCGTATCGAAACTCTCCTCTATAATGACGTGCCTATCATACGGTGTGTCGTAGTCGACTTCGAGTATGGTCGAAAATTGATGAGGGAAGATCATGTCTATAGCTGTTATTACGAGTCCCGCGAAGAGGCATGCAGCACCTGTGAAGAAAAGAAATCGCAATCACGTACGTATATTTTACGTATATTTATACATTGATCGAGTTTTAATAAAGTAATCACAAGGACACGAACCAGCTGATAACACCAACCAATAATTCCAGCCGAGATTGAAAGAAAGAATTGAGCCTTCGATGTGGGCTATCAGAGGTTCACATGGTAAGAGTGTCGAGTAGATCAGGTTTGTTAACAGCATGCATAAACCCGTGAAAATCATGCCGTATGCCCCATATCGCGGTACCATCATAAGTAACAAATTCATCATTAACCATGAGGCAAAGGAGGTCCTGCATAAGAAAGATTCCTCATTTCGCGTACACGCAATGAATGGAAAACTCGTATTCATAATCGATTCTTATATTTAAAATCGTCTTAAATAATATCTTAAGATGCTAATATGGCTCTTAGATTATAACATCTTAAGATTATACTTAAAGCAATCTTAAATAAAAATCGACTATTGATGCTTTCCTAGACGCAGTATAAAGCGGTGTCTACAACGAAATTTTAAGGCGTAAAATTTAAGCTTTAAACTCTAAACCGTAAGAAATTACAATCGAATGTGAGGAGAATACTTAACTGATTGGTCAATTTCTTACGGCTTAGTGCTTAAAACTTAAATTTTATGTCTTAAAATCTCATAACACAGCGCTTAACATAATGATTATATTTCACTTCGTTTAAGATTAGCAAATAACAAGTAAGAGACTGTGTCTCTTGTTGGAAAGCACTGTATGAATACTGGCCACTGAAATTGCATTAATATCTTAAAACGTCATTATATAAGATAGTCTTAAAATAAGAATGGACTATGGAGGCTAGTATTCACATAGTCACAGTTTTAAGACCTTTTTAAATACCGTTTTGAAATGTCATAAATTACAGATTATGTTATAATCGTCTTACATTAATGGTCTTGTAATAAAAACCGACTATAAATACTAGATTATGACTCTCAAAATGATTTCTTTCTACGAAAGTATTTCATCACAGAAGTAATAATATACCATAACATTATTGAAGCATAATATCCAGCTTCGCGATATCGTGAACCCCAAGAAAATCCCTCTTGATGGAGGCTGAAATATTCCGCCAAGGAAATAATAGGGAACGGCGCACCCTGATGAAGAGCCTGCTTGAATGCACTAGTCATTTCGCCAGAACTCCGCCACCAAAATCTTTCATTATATTCGACGTCACCATTCGTCTGCTCGTTCCTTGGCAATACTGCAACGATAAAATCTACTTGACGTAAGTGAACGAATCATTGCATAAACATCTGTTCGAAAATTGCAATTTGCGATGTGCAATCGCAAGTAGAAACACAAGTCATCTTAACGTCAAAATGATATTAAATTGACTTCAAAATAGATCATTAAAAGTCATTTAATTAATAACTATTTATTGTAACGTCATTTTGACTTGTTTTCTTTCGAATACAGCTCAATAATTTTAATTTTAATTTCCAAGCTTATCTTATTACATTCAATCAATCAGAACTCGATATCTTCAATTGTAGAAGTGCGTGTAAAAAGTTTAGATATCTAGCTTTCTTTACTTACGCCTGTATGTTATATTGATGTGCATTAAACCGATGTAACCGCCTATGTCGGCCGTTGCCTTATGCTTGGAGAAAGCGCTGTAAGAGCTGACAATGGTAGCGGAGCTCGTATGCCAGGATGAGCCGTATTGCGCCACTACGCGCGCATAGAGAGCACAGCGATTATTCTTCCGCACGTTCGCAGCGTTACATTTGTGATTATCTCGATTAATCATTCCACAAATGGATTTCGCAATTTTATTGGTCAGTCGAAGTAATGTCTTTAGAGATAAACACGCAATTTACTGCGAATACTACAAGCGAACAGTGGCGTAACTAATGTACTAACTCCAAATATTTTTTATTTCAATTATTTATTTGTTCTTTATCTTTCTGAACTCTCGTGTTTAAAAATGGTAAACAATACGAGGAAATTGAAATATAGATAACAACATTCAATGCAACAAAAAGTACATTAGATGAGTTCCACTAAATATTCTTATTTTTTGCTTAATTTTTTTATTAATTCTTTTCCTTTTCTTTTATTTTCTCACCGCTTTTTTTATCGGTCTCATCGAACTCTCGCGATTCGAACTTCGCGAGGCCAATCAGTTAGTTACGCCACTGGCAGCCAAGGCCCCTTGACTTGGAAAGTAGACAAAGTGCACGAACCTTGAATCGTTGCACCCACGAAGAGGCTCAGAGTAACCGTGAGAAATGTGGTTAACCGCTACGGCGGAAGAAAAACCAGGTTTACACGGCCAGAACTCGTAATTAATTTAAATCGTCGGTCACGATCAAGCACGGAGGAATAGAAAACTGCTCACCTCTTTCCTGACGCCCGGAAATATGACTAGAAATGCCGTGAACAGAGTGCCGAATATCACGAATACGATAACCAAGGGAACATCACCGGTGACAGGAGTGCGGTTGCTGTAACTGTAGAGCGTCGGACCGCCGTCGTTGCGAAAGGCATCGAACCATCCCTTCATTTTCCTGGATCAGCTAGTTCCGGCTCGCCGGAATCTGGGCCACTCGAATGAAAAATTACATTATCATCCTCGCTCTCAGCAAAGCAAATTGTAGGAACACAATTCAATCAATATTTTCTTCGCCAATCATACTGTATATTACTTTCGTACGCTATTTCAAAACATTAACTTTTATTTGAAAAAAAACAGCATATAAAAAGCACAGATAACTTTGAGAAGATATCTTCTGTTGCTAAGCACTTTATTCAGATACTCTCTTGACTTTTCGTCATATGGAGAACACTGATGGATCTTTATTTACGAGTGACATCACCACGGATAAAAATAAAGATTTTAATTGACAAGAGTTGTTTCGATATAATTTACTGAAATGCAATCTCTTGTAGCTATTAGCGCGATCCAAAAAGGATGGATGTCTCTCCCGGCTGGCCTTGACACGCATAAGTCCCGAAGGATTTTCTATTCGAGAAGAATTTACCTATGACCAGCAGATTTGACTCAAGGTCGGAGTTGCCAAAACTTTTGCGAAATCCTCGACATGCATTGAAAGCGCACTCGCGCACTGTACGACATGTGGGACCAAAGGCGGCGAGTGTACTGGAGCCCCGAGTGGGTTAACAGGCTCCGCTTGGAAAGCGGCTTCCATCAGCAGACAGACGACCTCGTGCATTACCTGGTAGAGAGAGAAAGAAGGACGGAGAGAGAGAGAGAGAGAGAGAGAGAGAGAGAGAGAGAGAGAGAGAGAGAGAGAGAGAG